TTTGCTACCGGGCACAGTTCAAAGTGCTGGCTTTGGCCTATCAAGCTCTAAACGACCCCAGCCCAATTTACCTGTCCGAACACATCTCCCCCTATGAACCGTCACAGAGATTAAGATCCTCCAGGGAGGCCCTGCTTTCCGTCCCGCCATTGTCACAGGCACGTTTGGTGGGGACGAGAGACAGTGCCTTCTCGGTGATTGCTCCCCAGCTATGGAACTCCCTTCCTGGTGAGATCAGGTCAGCCCCCTCCCTCCTGTCCTTCAGAAGGATGGTCAAAACTTGGCTGTGGGACCAAGTTTTCGGGACAGGGCAATAAAGCAGCAGTAGGAAAGATGACCAGACTAATTATTTATTTATTTATTTATTTATTACGGTTGCTTATACCCCGCCCTTCTCACCCGGGGGGACTCAGGGCGGCTTACACAAACAAGGCACAATTCGATGCCTGTATTACAAAAACATAACATCAAAAACATAACATCAATAACAACAGTAATTATAACACTAATAACAATTAACGTAAACAATCAATATTATCGGCAGGAATAGCCATAAACCCGTAAAAACGATTAAAACAATAAAAGCAATTAGATTAGATTTGACGTGGATAACTAGGACGGTTTTAAATGGTGTATTTTAATATTTTGATAAATGTTTTTTAATGTTTATGTATTGTATGTGAATTTGTGTCCCGGCATCGAATGTTTGCCGTGTATATGCTGTACTACGCCCTGAGTCCCCTTTGTGGTGAGAAGGGTGGAAGATCAATATTTTAAATAAATAAATAAACTAGAAACATATGACTCATTCACCCAACTGGGTTGATTTAGGAGAGGCATGGGCAAACTTCAGCCTTCCCTCCAGGTGTTTTGGACTTCAACTCCCACAATTCCTCCTCTCGGGCCCTTTCCTTTTCCCCTCAGCTGCTTTCACGGGGTAATTGAGCCTTCTCTGCAAGAAAAAAAGGGTAAACTACACATCCCAAGATTCCATAGCATTGAGTCATGGAACAAAAAGTGGTGTCAAACTACATTAATCTATAGTGGAAATCCTCTTTATGATGTGGTTTTATGAAGCACCAGCATCCTTTGGCTGAAGAGGCTCAAGACCTCGTTGGACTATAACTCCCAGGATCCTATGGGATGGAGCTATGGCAGTCAAAGTTGTGTCAAACTGCATTAATTCTGCCATATAGATCTTTTCTATGCTATGGTTTGATGAGGCACCAGCGTCCTTTGGCTGACAAGGCTCAAGACCTTGTCAAACTACAACTCCCAGGGTCCTATAGCATTGAGCCATGGCAATTGAAGTGGTGTCAAACTACGTTAATTATACCATATAGATCTTCTTTATGCTATGGTTTGATGAGGCACCAGTGGCTGAGGAGGCTCAAGACCTTCTCAAACTACAACTCATGGGGTCCTATAGCATTGAGCCATGGCAATTGAGGTGGTGTCAAAACTGCATTAATTCTTCCATTTAGATCTTGTCTATTCTCTGGTTTGATGAGGCGCCAGTGGCTGAGGAGGCTCAAGACCTTCTCAAACTACAACTCATGGAGTCCTATAGCATTGAGCCATGGCAATTGAAGTGGTGTCAAAACTGCATTAATTCTACTGTATAGATCTTGCCCATGCTATAATTTGATGAAGCACCAGCGTCATTTGGCTGACGAGGCTCAAGACCTTATCAAACTACAACTCCCAGGGTCCAATAGCATTGAGCCATGGCATTTGAAGTGGTGTTAAACTACATTAATTATACCATATAGAGCTTCACTGTGCTATGGTCTGATGAGGCACCAGTGGCTGAGGAGGCTCAAGACCTCATCAAACTACAATTCCCAGGATCCTATAGCATTGAGCCATGGCAATTGAGGTGGTGTCAAAACTGCATTAATTCTTCCATTTAGATCTTGTCTATGCTATGGTTTGATGAGGCACCAGTGGCCAAGGAGGCTCAAGACCTCGTCAAACTACAACTCCCAAGGTCCTATAGCATTGAGACATGGCAGTTGAAGTGGTGTCAAACTACATTAATTATACCATATAGATCTTCTTTATGCTATGGTTTGATGAGGCTCCAGTGGCTGACGAGGCTCAAGACCTTCTCTTCTTTATGCTATGGTTTGATGAGGCTCCAGTGGCTGAGGAGGCTCAAGACCTTCTCAAACTACAACTCATGGAGTCCTATAGCATTGAGCCATGGCAATTGAACTGGTGTCAAAACTGCATTAATTCTACTGTAAAGAACTTGTCTATGCTATAGTTTGATGAGGCATCAGTGTCCTTTGGCTGACGAGGCTCAAGACCTTCTCAAACTACAACTCCCAGGGTCCAATAGCATTGAGCCATGGCATTTGAAGTGGTGTTAAACTACATTAATTATACCATATAGAGCTTCACTGTGCTATGGTCTGATGAGGCACCAGTGGCTGAGGAGGCTCAAGACCTCATCAAACTACAATTCCCAGGATCCTATAGCATTGAGCCATGGCAATTGAGGTGGTGTCAAAACTGCATTAATTCTTCCATTTAGATCTTGTCTATGCTATGGTTTGATGAGGCACCAGTGGCCAAGGAGGCTCAAGACCTCGTCAAACTACAACTCCCAAGGTCCTATAGCATTGAGACATGGCAGTTGAAGTGGTGTCAAACGACATTAATTATACCATATAGATCTTCTTTATGCTATGGTTTGATGAGGCTCCAGTGGCTGAGGAGGCTCAAGACCTTCTCAAACTACAACTCATGGGGTCCTATAGCATTGAGCCATGGCAATTGAGGTGGTGTCAAAACTGCATTAATTCTTCCATTTAGATCTTGTCTATGCTATGGTTTGATGAGGCACCAGTGGCCAAGGAGGCTCAAGACCTCGTCAAACTACAACTCCCAAGGTCCTATAGCATTGAGACATGGCAATTGAACTGGTGTCAAAACTGCATTAATTCTACTGTAAAGAACTTGTCTGTGCTATAGTTTGATGAGGCATCAGTGTCCTTTGGCTGACGAGGCTCAAGACCTTCTCAAACTACAACTCATGGGGTCCTATAGCATTGAGCCATGGCAATTGAAGTGGTGTCAAACTACATTAATTATACCATATAGATCTTCTTTATGCTATGGTTTGATGAGGCTCCAGTGGCTGAGGAGGCTCAAGACCTTCTCAAACTACAACTCATGGGGTCCTATAGCATTGAGCCATGGCAATTGAAGTGGTGTCAAAACTGCATTAATTCTACTGTATAGATCTTGCCCATGCTATAATTTGATGAAGCACCAGCGTCATTTGGCTGACGAGGCTCAAGACCTTATCAAACTACAACTCCCAGGGTCCAATAGCATTGAGCCATGGCATTTGAAGTGGTGTTAAACTACATTAATTATACCATATAGAGCTTCACTGTGCTATGGTCTGATGAGGCACCAGTGGCTGAGGAGGCTCAAGACCTCATCAAACTACAATTCCCAGGATCCTATAGCATTGAGCCATGGCAATTGAGGTGGTGTCAAAACTGCATTAATTCTTCCATTTAGATCTTGTCTATGCTATGGTTTGATGAGGCACCAGTGGCCAAGGAGGCTCAAGACCTCGTCAAACTACAACTCCCAAGGTCCTATAGCATTGAGACATGGCAGTTGAAGTGGTGTCAAACGACATTAATTATACCATATAGATCTTCTTTATGCTATGGTTTGATGAGGCTCCAGTGGCTGACGAGGCTCAAGACCTTCTCAAACTACAACTCATGGGGTCCTATAGCATTGAGCCATGGCAATTGAAGTGGTGTCAAAACTGCATTAATTCTACTGTATAGATCTTGCCCATGCTATAATTTGATGAAGCACCAGCGTCATTTGGCTGACGAGGCTCAAGACCTTATCAAACTACAACTCCCAGGGTCCAATAGCATTGAGCCATGGCATTTGAAGTGGTGTTAAACTACATTAATTATACCATATAGAGCTTCACTGTGCTATGGTCTGATGAGGCACCAGTGGCTGAGGAGGCTCAAGACCTCATCAAACTACAATTCCCAGGATCCTATAGCATTGAGCCATGGCAATTGAGGTGGTGTCAAAACTGCATTAATTCTTCCATTTAGATCTTGTCTATGCTATGGTTTGATGAGGCACCAGTGGCCAAGGAGGCTCAAGACCTCGTCAAACTACAACTCCCAAGGTCCTATAGCATTGAGACATGGCAGTTGAAGTGGTGTCAAACGACATTAATTATACCATATAGATCTTCTTTATGCTATGGTTTGATGAGGCTCCAGTGGCTGAGGAGGCTCAAGACCTTCTCAAACTACAACTCATGGGGTCCTATAGCATTGAGCCATGGCAATTGAAGTGGTGTCAAAACTGCATTAATTCTACTGTATAGATCTTGCCCATGCTATAATTTGATGAAGCACCAGCGTCATTTGGCTGACGAGGCTCAAGACCTTATCAAACTACAACTCCCAGGGTCCAATAGCATTGAGCCATGGCATTTGAAGTGGTGTTAAACTACATTAATTATACCATATAGAGCTTCACTGTGCTATGGTCTGATGAGGCACCAGTGGCTGAGGAGGCTCAAGACCTCATCAAACTACAACTCCCAGGATCCTATAGCATTGAGCCATGGCAATTGAGGTGATGTCAAAACTGCATTAATTCTTCCATTTAGATCTTGTCTATGCTATGGTTTGATGAGGCACCAGTGGCTGAGGAGGCTCAAGACCTCGTCGAACTACAACTCCCGGGGTCCTATATCATTGAGCCATGGGAGTTGAAGTGGTGTCAAAACTGCATTAATTCTACCATACAGATCTTCACTCTGCTATGCTTTGATGAGATACCAGAATCCTTTGGTTGAGTAGGCTCAAGACTTTGTCAAACTACAACTCCCAGGGTCCGATAGCATTGAGTCATGGCAGTGGAAGTGGCGTCAAGCTGTCTCTATGGACCTGGGGTCAACTTTGGAAAAGAAGATGCACCGAAACACATTGGAGTTTTATTACAAAGCATTTGGAGCTTTATTGGCTTACAGCTTTGAGAATTGCTCCGAAGGCATTAAAGGAGGGCAAAACAATAAAGTACTGAGAGAGAGAGAGAGAGAGAGAGAGAGAGAATACCAGGAACAAAGGCTCTTTTCCTCTATCTTCCTTCTCCATCTCCCATTAATGGAGAGACCTTGGGTTGTTCCTCCAAGCCGGATGGATGTGGTGGCTCCCCGGCAGTACTTTCAGTGTGCCTTCTTTGCCACGACCACGAAAAACACGATGCCGGCAATAATAGCGATCACTCCGAGGACGATCCCGACAATGTTGAGAGTGCGGGCCGTGCGGGATGCTTTGGCAGCCATGTTGCTGTTCCCCACGGCATTGGCATTGTTCACCTGAAGGAAGGAAGGAAGGAAGGAAGGAAGGAAGGAAGGAAGGAAGGAAGGAAGGAAGGAAGGAAGGAAGGAAGGAAGGAAGGAAGAGCCAGGACGTCAGAACCCAAAATCTTTCACGTAACCAACAACATCATAGAATCAACACATCCTAGAGCTGGAAGAGATCCCCAAAAACCACCCAGTCCAACTCCCTTCTGCCAGCAACAAAGGCACCATCCAAGCCCTCCTTCCAGATGATCATCCAACCTCTGTGTCAGAAACTCCAGAGAAGGAAATTCCACCAGAAATGCCAAACTACAGCTCCTATGATCCTATACCAGTTAGGGGCAAACCCAGGCCCGCGGGCCAGATATGGCTCCTTGGGCTCTTTTCTCAGGCCCTGCTCTCTCACACCATCCTATCTTTCCTTCCTTCCCTCTTTCCTTCCTCCTTCCCTCTCTCTTTCTCCTTTCCTTCCACCCTTTCATTCTTCCTTCCTTCTCTCTTTCCTTCCTCCTTCCATTCCTTACTTCCTTCCCCCCTTCCACCCTTTTGTCCTTCTCCTTCCCTCCCTTATGTCTTTCTTTCTTTCCTCCTTACCTTCCTCCCTTCCCTCTCTCTTTCTGCTTCCATCCTTCCCTTCCTTCCCTCTTTCCTCCCTCTCTCCCTCTTTCTCCTTCCTTCCCTTTTGTCTTCGTTTCCCTTTCTCTTTCCTTTATCTTTTCCTTCTTTCCATCCTTCTCTTCAACCCTGTCTTCCTTCTATTTTTCCTTCCCTTTATTACTTCTATCCATCCTTCCCTTTCACTGTTCCTTCCTTCCTTCCTCTCTTCCTTCCCTTTTGTTCTTCCTTCCATCCTTCCCTTCCACTGTTTCTTCTGTCCTTCTTTCCCTTTCGTTTGTTTTCATTCTCTTTCCTTCCTCCTTCCCTTCCTTCCTCCTTCCCTTCCTTCCTTCCATCCTTCCCTTCCCCTTTTCCTCTTCCTCCTTTTTTCTTCCTTCTCCCTTCCTTCCTTCTTCCTTCCTCCTTCCTTCCCTTTCCTTCCTTCCTTCTCCTTCCTTCCTTCCTTCCTCCTCCCTTCCCTTTCCTTCCTTCCTTCCTTCCTTCCTTCCTTCCTTCTTCCTTCCTTCCATCCTTCCATCCTTCTCCTTCCTCCTTTCCTTCCTTCTTCTCTTCCCTTTTTTCTTCCCTTTTTTCCTTCCTTCTCTCTTTCCTTCCTCCTTCTCTTCCTTTCCTTCTCCTTCCTTTTTTCTTCCTTCTCTCCTTCCTTCCTTCTCCCTCCCTTTCTCTTCCTTCCTTCTCTTCCTTCCTTCCTTCCTTCCTTCCTTCCTTCCTTCCTTCCTTTTCCTCTTTCCTTCTCTCTTCCTCCTTTCTTTCCTTCCATCCTTCCCTTCCACTCTTCCTTCCTTCCTTCCCTTCCCTTCCACTGTTTCTTCTTTCCTTCCATCCTTCCATCCTTCCCTTCCACTGTTCCTTCCTTCCTGCCTTCCCTTCCCTTCCCTTCTTCCCTTTCATCCTTCCATCTTTCCCTTCCACTCTTCCTTCCTTCCTTCCCTTTTTTCCTTCCTTCTCTCTTTCTTCCTTCTCCTTCCTTCCTTCCTCCTTTCCTTCCTTCCTTCTTCCTTCCTTCCTTCCTTCCTTCCTTCCCTTCCTTCCTTCCCTTCCCTTCCCTTCCCTTCCCTTCCCTTCCACTGTTTCTTCCTTCCTTCCTTCTTTCATTCCTTCCTTCCTCCTTTCCTTCCTCCTTCTCTTCCTTCCTTCCATCCATCGCTGGCCAGCCTGTCCTCCCAGCAGGGAGTGCTAGCACGCAGCCATCAAAGAAAGGAAGTTTGCCCAGGCCTGTCCTATATCATTGTTCAAGTCTTGGGTCAAGATGCGCAATAACACTATGTTACAAAAATCAGGGTGGGAATTCTGTTCCTGTTTTGAAAGTGTCCTTTCCTGTTTAATTGTTTGGTCCTGGCTTTGGAAGTCGTTGTTATCCCCCAGAAACTTTGTTTTTGTGACTGCCACAAACTGGGTTGAATTGATTGAGACTGAGTGAGACACTCATTGAAAAATTATAGCAAAACGTGCTCAGTAAAAACAAAAGTTTTTGCAATTTAATAAACTTTTTCATGTCTTTATGATAGAAACAATTAGGAAATGGCATTGATAAGCCAGGAACAAAATTTGTGTTGCATAGTGTGATTGCTTCTTTTTCTAGCTTCCAAACGGAGCATTCCAAAAGGTTGGAGTCATGAAAAAATGTCATCGTACTCAACAGCATTATTTATTCCCCATCCAAAGGTTTGCATAGACACTATTATTGTTATTGTTAGTAATGGTACTATATATGCCTCACTTTCTCTCTCTCTCTCATTCTCTGTCTCAATACTCTCATGTAAAAGAGAATTCAATAATATTTTGCAATCAAGGAAAGGCAGCATTCCAAGCTGATACCATCATGGAAACAAGAAGAGGAGGGGAGGGGAGTTCAGAAAAGATGCAAACTTGGCCAAAATAGGGTGGGAAAGAGAGAAAGTTTGCGTGCAGAGGGAGGGGCTTAACCCACAAAAACAAGGCTCTAAAGTTATGGGTGCATCTACACTGTCGAGTTAACGCAGTTTGGCACCACTTTCACTGCACTGGTTTGGAGACAGAAAGAGTTGGGATGTTTGTTGAATTTGGCACATACATGCATAATACATCCCAAGAATATATGTCTCCAAATTTGTACTTTTCCTCTCTGTTAGAGAGAGAACGAAAGAAAGAAATCGTATAGAGAGGGAAAGAACTGGGATGCTTGTTTATGTTTCCTTCTCTCCTTCCTTCTTTTCCTCTTTCTCTCCTTTCTTCCTTCTCTCTTTCCTTCCTTCATTTGCTTTTTGCTTCCACCCTTCCTTCTGTCTTTCCTTCCCTCCCTCTTTCTTTCCCTTCTTCCTTCGCTCCCTCTTTCCTTCCTTCCTTCCTTTCTTTCTTTCTCTCCTTCCTTCTTTCTCTACCTCTTTCTTTCCTTTCCCCTTTTTCTTTTCCTCTTTCTCTCCTTTCTTCCTTCTCTACCTCTTTCCTTCCTTCCTTCGCTCTTTGCTTCCATGCTTCCTTCTTTTTTCCTTTCTTTCTTTCTTTCTTTCTTTCTTTCTTTCTTTCTTTCTTTCTCCCCTTCTTTTCCTCCCTCTTCCTTCCTTTTTTTCTGTATTGTCATTTAGCTTTTCATTATTTAGCTTTTGGGGGATTGTAAGTCCTTCCCACTGTGTTTTTCAGTGTTCTTATGAGTGATGGTCACTCGTTGGCCTGAGAGGTCTCTTGTGTCCAAATTTGGTGTCAATTCACCCAGTGGTTTTTGAGTTATGTTAATTGCACAAACGAACATTACATTTTTATGTATATAGATACACACACACACACACACACACACACACACACATACAATACATCCCAAGAATTTATATCTCCAAATCTGTACTTTTCCTCTCTCTTAGAGAAAGAAAGAAAGATGATAAACAATAGACAGATAAGCTTAGAAAGAGGAAAATACTTTTTTGTATACGTTTAGGGATATGAAGAATGGGGTAGTTCTTAATGTATCAATATATATTTGTATTCCCCTCAATATCCCAAAGGTTTATCTCTCTAAAACCTGTACATAAGGTCTTTTCCTCTCTTAGAGATAGATATTTATACCCCGTCCTTCTCAACCCCGAAGGGGACTCAAGCAACCGTTACACATAGGGAACTATTCAATGCCTTAAAGACAACATACAATTAGCATCAACATTTAAATTAAGATTAAAATTAAGATACATTAAAGCAGTTAAGAACATTACATCCATTATCTATCAATCAATGGATCGAGATAGATAGATGTATTGTCGAAGGCTTTCATGGCCAGAATCACTGGGCTGTAGGTTTTTCCAGGCTGTATGGCCATGTTCCAGAAGCATTCTCTCCTGACATTTCACCTGTTGGGAAGTCTCAGACCTCTGAGGATGCCTGCCATAGATGCAGGCGAAATGTCAGGAGATAATGCTTTTGGAACATGGCCATATAGCCCGAAAAACTTACAACAAGCCAATAGATAGCTAGAGAGAGAGAGAGAGAGAGAGAGAGATAGATAGATAGATAGATAGATAGATAGATAGATAGATAGATAGATAGATAGATAGAGACAGAGAGACAGACAGACAGACAGAAATAGATAGATGATAGATAGAGAGATAGACTGAAAGACAGACAGACAGACAGACAGACAGACAGACAGATAGATAGATAGATAGATAGATAGAGACAGATAGACAGAAATAAAGAACAATAAAAAGAAAGAAAATAGAAAAAGACAGACAAACAGATAGATAGAAAGAATGAAAGAAAGAAAGATGATAGAGAGAGAGAGAGAGAGAGATAGACAGAAGGATGGGTGGGTGGGTGGGTGGGTGGATGGAAGAAAGAAAGAAAGAGAGAAAGAAAGAAAGAAAGAAAGAAAGAAAGAAAGAAAGAAGAAAGAAAGAAAGATGACAGACAGACAGACAGACAGATAGAGACAGAAGATAGGTGGGGGATGGAAGAAGGAAAGGAAGAAAGAAAGAAGATGACGATAGATAGAAATAGATAGATAGATAGATAGATAGATAGATAGATAGATAGAGATAGACAGAAGGATGGGTGGGTGGATGGATGGATGGAAGAAGGAAAGAAAGAAAGAAAGAAAGAAAGAAAGAAAGAAAGAAAGAAAGAAAGAAAGAAAGAAAGGACAGAAAGAAAAAAAGAAAAAAGAAAGAAAGAAAGAAAGAAAGAAAGAAAGAAAGAAAGAAAGAAAGAAAGACAAATAGAATCTAGCCAGCTATTTAAGAGAAATGAAAATACTTTATGTAATGGTTTAAAGATATAAAGTCCTGGGGAATGTGTTAATGTAACAACCAGGCAAAGTCTCTCACTTGTTGGATTCATGACAAAAGGAACAGTATTAAAGTACAGAGAAACCAACCAAATGGAAGTGGAGAATCCTCTGCTAAAAAGTAATTTTGGTACATATGTGTGTATTTTACACAGTTAGAGATGTCTCCCGCGGGGCCAAATTGTGTTGTTACACAACTGGATCAGCAATGCACTTTGAAACTGCATTTTATGCGCAGTGTAGACACATACAATACAGTTTGAAGTGTGTGTGTGTTTGTTTTCTATTAAACATTCAAAGAATACCTTAAAAGGCAAAGGATGGGCTCACCTGGCAAGAGTAGATGACGGCGGCGATGCCGATGGGAAAGCAGCAACAGAGGAGATTGAAGATGGAAAGCGCAAGATACGAAGGGTAATTGCTCTGCAGAGAAGGCATTTTCAGAGGCTTTTCGGAGGGTCCTTCTTTGCTGCCAAAAGTCTGAACTGAGCTTGTCTTGGGAGTGAATGCCTGCCTTGTTCTTCCCAGCTCAACAATCAACACGCAGGACCTTTGAGTTGCTTCCAGCAAAGAATTGATGCATCTCTCAGGGATTGTGCAAGACCAAACAAGTGGGAGGGGAGAGAGGACCACGGAGACGCCCAGGTTTCCAGGAAAAATAACATCCTAGAATTATTTTGATAGCGGCTTCCTCAAGCTTGAACCCTTACGAAGTTTATCTTTCCAGCCCCAGAATAGGAAGCATTGGGCATTGCAAACCATTTGCTAAAGTGTGTGTGTCCAAGATAAAAGTGTGATGAGAGTGCTAATGTTCGGCCCATCATAGGAATATTTAAAGTTAAAGTTGAAATTGCAGTGACCCAGGACTGTTTACAGACAACGCATGTTTGTGTGATATGTTATGTGCTGTATTTAATAATGTTTAATATTTTATCCAACAGTCACCGGCCAATCCCTCTCCAATGCCAGAAATAAAGCTTAATGGTGTAACGTTAGAAAATGTGCAGCCACCTCTCCACAAAAGTCAACATTGACACTGAAATACAACACCCGCTGAGCTCTGCAAGTGCAGCATTCTTCCAAATGAAGCAGAGAGTATTGTTGAATGCTTTCATGGCTAGAATCACTGGGTTGTTTTAGTTTTTTTCGGGCTGTATGGCCATGTTCTAGAGGCATTTTCTCCTGACGTTTCGCCTGCATCTATGGTAAGCATCCTCAGAGGTAGTGAGTGAGGTCTGTTGGAACTAGGAAAAAGGGTTTATATATCTGTGGAATGACCAGGGTGGGACAAAGGACTCTTGTCTGTTGGAGCTAGGTGTGAATGTTTCAACTGTCCACCTTGCTTAGCATTTGATTGCCTGGCAGTGCCTGGAGCAATCTTTTTGTTGAGAGGTGATTAGATGTCCCTGATTGTTTCCTCTCTGTTGTTGTGCTGTTCTAATTTTTTAATACTGGTAGCCAGATTTTGTTCATTTTCATGGTTTTCTCCTATCTGTTGAAATTGTCCATATGCTTGAGGATGCTTGCCATATATGCAGGCGAAACATCAGGAGAAAATGCCTCTAGAACATGGCCATATAGCCCGAAAAATCGTACAACCACCCGAAGCAGAGAGTGTTTGATGACCGGGACATCCGTAGGGATACCAAGGAGCTTGTTTATAAAACTACTGTCATCCCAACCCTGCTATACACTTGCGAGACGTGGACTGTCTACAGACATCACATGCAACTCCTGGAGGAATTCCATCAGTGCTGCCTCGGGAAAATCCTGCAAATCTCTTGGGAAGACAAGCGGACAAATGTCAGCGTGCTGGAAGAAGCAAAGACCACCAGCATTGAAGCGATGGTCCTCCACCATCAGCTCCGCTGGACCAGCCACGTTGTCTGAATGCCCAAAGATCACCAAAGCAGTTGCTCTACTCTGAACTCAAAAATGGAAAACAGAATGTTGGTGGACAGGAAAAGAGATTTAAAGATGGGCTCAAAACCAACCTTAAAAATTGTGGCATAGACACTGGGAAGCTCTGGCCCTTGAGTGCTCTAACTGGATGGAGCTGTAGTTGCTGGGATTTATAGTTCACCTTCAATCAAAGAGCATTCGGAACCCCACCAACGATAGAATTGGGCCAAACTTCCCAATTTTCTGATGATCTTTGGCGAACCCTCTGACAACCCCTCGCAACCCCCCCCCCCAGGGGTCCCGACCCCCAGGTTGAGAAACGCTGTTACAGAGATTGGCCAAAACCCAGCCCTTATTATATCATTCCAGCCTGGTGTCCTTGGCAAAAGTATGAATTCCCTGATTATAAACTATCTTTTATTGGGGGGGGGGGGAGGCCCGTAGCCAGGATTTCGATTCGGGGGGGGGGGGCTGAGTTTTGGGGGGCCTGAGTCTGAGTGAAAGAGGGTCTACCCTAGCAAACCTTTAGTATCATTACCCCAATACCCCCATGCATATGGGATATATTGAGTATGGTGATCAGATCATGATATGAATAAACATAACAGTTTAAATAATGCACCAGTAAGGCCTTTTCGTGAACCACCATGAGAATTTCGAGGGGGGGGTGAAGCCCCTCAAGCCTCCCACCCCCCCCCCCCCCCCCCCCCCCCCCCCCCCCCCCCCGGCTACATGCCTGGGGGGGAGTCATGTTCGACAACCACACAACACTGGAAGAGGGTTGTTTTGAAGAGTAGCAAGTCTCTTAAATGGGCACAATCTACTTTTGATTTTACTGACGGCCATCCAGATTCAGTGCACAGAAGTGCTGCAGGAGTTCCAGCTGGAAGAGGATAAAGTTTTCGCAGGAACTTCTTCTGCCAAATTTCCAAGGTTTTGCAAAAGTTGGTATCTGAACCCCAGGCTTCTGTGCCATAACGTGCTTGTGCCAGCGCCTGGCTACTGAACGGTTTGAGGGTGGATTCTACCAGCTAGCTGCCTTGTGTGTAGAAGAATTTCATTAGTGCGCTGATTGGTTTCTTGGCTTTCAGTTAGTAATCAACGATAAGCCATGGGCGGACTTCTCGGTCAATGTGGTTTTGATTTTTCTGTGTTTCTTTAAGTGCATTCTCGGATCTCTACTGCCAAACGCTTCTCCTTCCCACATCTGCGGATAAGCTAACACGCCTGGAACATGCCTGGAAAACTGACAACAAATCAGGCCTGGAACATGCCTGGAATGCCAACACATCTGGTCCTGCCCTGGGGAGTATCACACCACGAAGGGACTATCAAGTTTGTAGAGCCCCCCAGAGGTCATTCTTTTCCAGGAAGTGTTGCATTCCTGGATAGTGAGGCACTCGTGGAAGCGGCAGCATTTTCCTTGTAGTTCTTCCTTCCCTCCCCCCCACTTTCCCTCATATATCTTCCCCTTTCTTTCTTTCTTTCTTTCTTTCTTTCTTTCTTTCTTTCT